TCTTTACGAGATTTTTGTAATTTCTTTTGATTTGTTTTTAATTATATTATCATACTTTCATAATAAAGATATTGCGATACTACTGCACTTTAAAAAAAAAAAAAAAAAAAAATATTTTTATAAATAATTTATTCATTTTTATATATAATTTATTTATTTTTAGTAATTATTTATATATATTTTATGCTATATAATATGTGTTCAAAAAATTTTAATATACATATATACAGTATATATTATGTATATCAATTTTAAATATTGTATATAATTACATTTTACTTATTTAACTATAATTATTAAAAAAAGAATTTTCTATTTTTAAATGTAAAGAAATTATTAATGTCTAAAAATATAGTATAAATAAATGAAGGATTAGTGAAGTTTTAAATTATTTTCAAAATATCATTCATGATATTATTTTTATTTATAAGAATCTTAAATATAAGACTTTTTATCTAGACTAAATAGGTAACTTATAATAATTGAAAGGGATAATCAGCATCTATTAAAAATTTTTAAAATAGATAAAAAATGAATCTTTAGAAGTTATGTGAGAATTTTATGAATTCTACTTCAACAAATATTTATAAGAATACTTTAAGAAAATATTTTTATAAGCAAAACTTCTATAATTGAGTAAATATTAGAAAACTATTTGTAAATGAAATAAATAGGTAAAAAGGCTTACCTGAGTAAAGAAATATAAAGAATAGATATTTAAATAGGAAAATGTTATCTAGAGTAACAAATTTAAGTTTAAACTATTTAGTAATATTGGTAAAAGATAGATTTAAGACAGTTTTACAAAAAATATAATGTTAAGTATCTAATTTTTATATTTAAATTAGATCAATAAGAAGTGATGAATCACATAAAATAATCTTAATCTATTAGTAAAGTTAGAAAAAAGAGTAATAGTTATAGTATATGTAGATATACTAAAAAATCATTTACAATCAACTCTTGTTATAATTACTTTTATAAATTTTTATTATATAAAACCTATTGTTTATAGTCATATTTACCTATAATCACTATCATCATTATTTCAAAAAATCTTATAATAAAAAATATCATTTATAATTATATAATCATGTGAAATATTTAGTATAAAAAAGAAATTTGAAAAATATTGCAAAATTTTTTCTAATACATTTTTGTATTAAATATATGTTGATCATAATAACTAATATTTTCAGTTTTTGTTAAATTAATAACTAAAAGAAAAAATTATATATTAAGAAATGATCGATATTACATATTTGATATATTTCCTGATTGTCTTAGAACTAAAAATAAAAAGTGTGATTATAATAAAAAATTACTATACAATAGGATTTTTATATGTTATCACTAAATGTTAGTTCTAGAAGGGTGTTACTATAAAAATACTGTGATTATAAAGGGTTTTTTTATATAGCATTAATAGGTATTAGTTCTTACAAAATGTGTGCTTATAATAAGGAATTTATATGATGTAATTGTATAGGAGGTGACTATAGAGAGAAATGATTATATATCTTTAAATATTATATTATATAAAATCAATTAATTTTAATTTATTAATATTATTATATTATTATATAAAAATAAATTATCATTTAGTATTTAATTAAATTTTATAATTTATAATTATAAATAAAGTAAATTTATTCATTGCAGGCGTGATATCATCACCTCCTTTTTGTTATTTGTGTCATATACCCTTCCTTTTTCATTTTTCATATATATATTCTGGGGATTTAGAAATTTTTTTATGTATGAAACCCTATTTATTACATATATTAGTGTCACATGACTTAGAGTTAGGTTAGGGTTAGGGTTAGAATAAGGTATATATAAAGGCAATATATAAGGAGTATCACCCCTTCTATGATGAATAAATTTATTCTTATAAATATATTAGTAATTTATATAAAATTAATTTATTAAAATATTTTAAAATTAAAATAAATATAAAATTGTAATTATAATATTTTTAATTTATAAGATATTACTTTTAGAATTTTTAATATAATTTTTTTTAAAATATAAACCTTTTGTTAATTTTATTTATAAAATTTATTTGATAAATAATTATTATTAAAATTTTATATTATTAATTTAAATAAATTCATTAATTAATTGAATATAATATTAAAAATTAATAATTAATTATAATAAAATAAATTTATAATACTTAGACTTTTATCAAATTTTTTTTAACTATAAATTAAAATAAATTATAAAATTAATAATATAATATTTTTTTTTTTTATTTAAAATATTAAGCATATTACTATTACTTATTTACATTTAATTTAGAGACAATAACTCTATTTATACAATAAACAAAGATACTTTGTCTGGATTAAATTGTCACTAAATTTGCTCCTTGTATTGATTTTATTTTACATGCTTTTTTTTTAATCAAAAAAAGCAAAAAGTTTGCTAATTGCTAAGAATACTAAATTATTAATAGTAATCATTAAGATTACTGATATAAATATAAATATATATTTATATTTATATATTTAAAAATGTGGTTATCATGCTAAACTAAAATGCTATAAAATTAATATATACTTTTTTAATATATCAGTAGCAAATGCACGCATTCTATTACTGTATATACTTTGTTTTTACTTTTGGTTGATTGACTATATAACAAAAAAAAAAATTGAATGAATTAATTAGGATAATCGCCGATTCCATTTTCAATACCGTTTGCATCATACATTTCCACGTCTATGTCAGTGGAGTACTCTCCTTCCTCATTGATTTGTGTCTCTTCATCTATAGTGCTTACATCATCATCTTCACCTTGATGATTTGTCGATTGTACGTTATTATTATAAAATCCGTTACCATTTTCTGTGTATATTTCAACTTCGAGTTGTTCTTCACCATAATGTGAATGTATATCATCATCTTGTAAATATTGTGCTCGATCACGATGCGAAACTGCTCCATTTTCATATTGTGATCCATCATGTTGTGAAAGTGATCCATTTTCGTTTTGTAATCCATCACGATGCGAAACTGCTCCATTTTCATTTTGTGATCCATCATGTTGTGAAAGTGCCCCATTTTCGTCGTGTGATGCATCATGTTGTGAAAGTGTTCCAGATTCGTTCTGTGACCCGTAGTTCTGCGAACCTACACCATTTACATACTGCGTTCCAGAATACACCTCTCCTTCTGAAGGTACTGTATGCTGTGAATCTGAAAATTGCGACTCGTCCGAAGACCCCATGAACTCCTCGTCTTCTGCGTACCCGCCATATTGTGAATCTTGATCACCATATTGTCCATCCTGTAAGTATTCTCCCCCTCTTTGAGATAACGAATGTGCTTCCCCTTCACATTCTACTTCAGTTACTGTATCATCACCATTCTCTATTACATCGGAATCGTCCTCCGCCGTTTCGTCATTGCCTATGGTGTGACTTGATGGTGATGGATTTTCGGGCGGGGGTTCATAGATTTTATCAATATCTATATACTCATATTCATTGAACTTAGGGTCGATAATAGGAGTAGTTGATCCTGACATATTACCAACAGTATTCTCATAAGAGTTCATGAGAATTGTCGCATTTGCAAGAGGATTTATTTTCGTCTCCTCTGAACTCGTGTTCTAGTAAAATTATGAATAATTAACAATTTTAAAAAAACAGACGCACTTAAAGCAAAACCTGATATTATAGTACTTGCTTTTTTCCTTACTAATTTAGGACACGTTGCAGTATACATATCCAAAATATCATCGATGCATTCTAAAATAATAATAATATGAATAAATTGAGGGGAACCTTGCTTAACTTCGATCACCTAATTAATATGTAATCATTTACTCGTTGTTTCGTAGATGTTGCTTTGCATTACGTTCCACCAGACGGTTCCTTTAGTGGCGTCGTCGTTCAACGATACGTCTCCCACTTTGGAAGCGATAAATACAGCAGCACTTGCTATTGTCGTTGGTTGATAAAACAGACAAATCGGCGTTTGATGGCTAATTATAGAAATTATACCTGGTATTGGTATTTAATTCTTTAGGGTTAAAATATGACAGTTATTAATGCATACCCATGATTTATAATTGCCCATGCTGCAGCGGCCAGATCCCTTAATACTTCTTTATTGAAGCCTAAAGATATTAGGGCTTATTAAAAAAGCAAGAAGAATAAACGATAGATCAATTTTATAAAATCTTTTACCTTTCAACTCTTTTGTGTATTTTAATAAAGGCAGGTAAGGATGATCGACTTGTAAATCGAAGCAAAGTATTGCCGCAATTAGCGGTTCCAGATGTTTTAAAGTGTTATCCCACATTTCGATTTCCTATGTTAAGATTCCATAGAATAATAAGTCTCAAATAATAAAAAATAGATATATGAAAAATATATAGATCGAATTTCCACGTCGTTTCTTTTATTATTGAATTGTACTTATACGCAAAGTAACGATAATCCGTAATGAAACTTAAATTTTTTTTTTTTTTCCAACATATTAAATTCTACGCTTTTAAGAATCCAAGAAATTTATTACTGACTTTTGTATCGTCGAGGCATTTGTCTCTGCGCGCCACGCGAGCGCATGCAGCTGCAACATCTTCTAGAGTTCTCCTAGGTTTAGGTTCTTCCACCTTTACAGCAAGAAGCACGCAAGCACCCCCGACATCCTGTTTGACACAATTAAGGTTAATACATCTTAACGACGTACATAAAAAGGGGTAGTTAAACTTACATAGGGATGAAACTCTTTAAAGCTTTTTCGCATGAAGAATCTATGAAAGTATACTGAGGCCGTTGCGATCACGATCTGGGGACTATTTAAAAGAGAATCAAGTTAAGAATTTAAGAATTTAAAAAAAGGTGTTGCGATAAGTAGTAATCGCGTTATTCAGAACTAGAACCGCAGTTTACAAGTTATTATCTTTATGGTTAAAGAAAGATGGTGTAAAACTTAGTTCTAAAAAAAGGATACAGTTTTATGTTAACGCAAACTTGTATAATGTATTTAATTCCCTTGCTTCGAAATTTTTTTTCGTCAGCAACGGATATGCTGTCATAACGTGACGGTGAGTGTGTTAAAAAGTCAGTTTTTTTAAAGTACCAATTTGCTTGGCAAAATTCCATAAGTGTGAAATTTTTGATTGCAAAGGGGAAAAAAAATTTGTAAATAAAAAAACTAAATAAAAAGTTCACCAAATTAGATCTGGATTTTTTTAAAAGAGTAAGAGCGAAAAGAAAAAATCGCGAACAAAAGGAAGATGTAGAGAGAGTGATTGATATACGTCAAAAAAAAAAAAAAAAAAAAAAAAAAACACTTTTAATCTTCGAGAAACGCAAACAATCAAGCCCGCTTAGACTGGAAGATTCAAAGTGATTTCGTAAAATTATATTACGAAAAATGAATATTTTGGATGAAAATATTTTTGATCAAAGTAATTAAAGTAATTGAATATGTTGCTGGAAGCACAAATACTTGCTAATGAAATGAATTATCGATCGGAAAATTACAAACATTTTCATGATTGGTGAATTATTAAATTTTTTTGACACCAAATTATCGGGTAATTTATAGGTGATAATATATTTTTACGTCATCATCTGATTATAAACAGATTTTACTATTGAAAAAAAAAAGCTCCTCCTCTTTCGATTTTTTTTTTTTTTTAATAAAAAGAAAAGAATGCAGATTTTCGTAAAGACCTTAACGGGTAAGACTATCACCCTCGAGGTTGAGTCATCCGATACCATTGATGCCGTTAAAGCTAAGATTCAGGATAAAGAAGGTAAATTTACATTTGAATATTTTTTTCAAAAGGTTACACCGCTCGAATTATTGATATTTTTTTTTTTTTTTTTTTTGAATTCCAAAGGAATTCCTCCGGATCAACAGCGTTTGATATTTGCTGGAAAACAGGTAACAAATTTTATTATTTTTTTTTTTTTTTGCTAATATACTTGAGATTCAATATTATTTATCAATTAATTTTCCATTTATCAATCACGTGTTTCGTTTATGAATAATAGCTCGAGGATAATCGTACTCTTTCTGATTATAATATCCAAAAAGAATCAACTTTGCACTTAGTTCTTCGTCTGAGAGGTGGTGGTAAGAAACGTAAGAAGAAGACTTATACCACACCAAAGAAGATCAAGCATAAGAGAAAGAAAGTCAAATTGGCCGTACTCAAATATTACAAAGTTGATGAAAATGGAAAGATTACACGACTTCGCAGGTCAGAATCTAATATGGATTAATAATTAAATGATTATAATTATTATTTTATGAAATTTGATTCTTGATTATTTATTTAAATTTTTTTTTTGATCATCCCTTAGGGAATGCCCAAGTGCTACATGTGGTGCTGGTATTTTCATGGCATGGCATTATGACCGTCAATATTGTGGAAAGGTAAATTTTTATTTCTACATCATGATCTTTTACTAGATCTTATTCAACTCTGATTCATCAAATTCTTTTAATAGTGTGGATTAACTTATGTATTTAAGAAAGAAGAAGCCGAGTCTTGAATACAATATAATGAATAATCGAATAGGATAAATGAGTTAAAAAATTATTGTTACTCAATTTTTTTTTTTTTTTGCTGTAAATTTATTTATTATGATTGGATGTTCCCATAAGTAAAAGTTATACGCAAATTCATTTATTTTGGAATAATACATTAGAGATCACATGTGGCTTCATTTTAAAAGATAGAATCTTCTACGTTTGGTTATATACGGTATTCTTTATTCTTTCAAATATATTAATGTCAATAGTAATAATAATAACTCATATTATCATTCATTATACATATTGCTACATAAACTGATTTGTCTACGATAAATATTGACAAGGGAGAATGTATTTTATATATAATATTATTCATCACCTTTAAATTTCCCGGGCCATTACAATATTTAAGATTCGCGTATTTTATCCATATACTCTGCAATGTTATCGAATGTCAACTTGATCAATTGACGACGAGATAATGATTTCTTGGTGAACCTATAAAAGATTAAGAACGCGAGTAGATTAAAAAAAAATGTAATGAATCAAGAAAGAATGAAAAGAAAATTATATATATATACGGGCAAGTATCTTTCGATTCGGGCGATCTAAGAATTTTGATCCAAGTTTGATAATCACAAACATATCTAGTTTATAAACGTTAGCGAATTAATATACGTTATGTAGCATAATAAATACCTTAAAATCTTTTTTTTTTAAAAAAAAAATTCGATACGACTAAATTCATTTGTTTACCCGTCAGGTGAAATAGCAGGTTCATTCATTGGCTCTAAAGTGATCGCATCTTTCATATTTGGTAACGGGTTCCATGGATTAGGTCCATTGACGGGTTTTTTAACCCAGGAATCGACCTGATTTTGTCCAGAAAATTTTCTTGCGCGCTTCATTTGACCATTTGAGGCCAACGACTTGACAAGCTTATCATAATTTACACGTAATGATTGCACCGGACAATCATCAAATTCAGTAATTTGTCCCAAAGTAACCAATCGATTATACTCATATTGACATTGAAATCCTGTTCGATTAGGAATGTTACGAGCAACTAGTCCAAATGGGAATGTACTAATCCCCTCCATATTATCGCCAACAGTCATATTATCACAATATCGACGAATCTCCGATAACATTAGTTGTCTTTCCTCATCCTTCCATTCTCGATCTGCGCAAAATGATTCACCATCTCCAACGAACCGATAATAATACTCGTTTATGTCACTTTCTCGAACCATGTTTGTTAATAATTGTTGCAACGTAGGATCAGAGAATCCAAAGTACAATGGTCCTGAGATACGAGTTGCTTGATTTTGCAAAAAGAAATGGAATGGTGGTTAGCCTTATGATTAAACATGTCACGTGTTCAAACATTAATGACGTACTTCTTGAACCCTTGTACGAAATACAAATTGTCGTCCACGGTTTTGTGGGAGTACTTCCCACAAAAGTAGCATTTGTTGCCTGATCTGTTACGGTGAAACGAGGATTCCCGGTTTCGGGATCTTCATCGATGGACATAATGAAGGTCCTATTTTTTTCGACACGCATGGCTTTATAATTGATGGGAATGGGATGATGATACAAAGATCCTGGATTCGACCACCATGCAGCTGTCGATTTATGATAACTACCAAGACTGATAATGGTAGTTGGTGTAGATAAAAGACGATAGGGAAAGGTGATATTTTCTAACGAATCAAAATGATCCGAATCTTCTTCAGAAATTGAACTACTTTCTTCAATACGATTCGCAGCATCTTGAGATGCTGGTTTTAACGTGTTTCGAAATTTTCGTGCATTCTTTCCAGAAAGTCTGTTGAGTACATCTTGTTCATTATCATCACAAATTGACAAAGCCAATCGCGCTTCATCTTCTGTCAAATCCGAAGCGAATAAAATTGTTTTCACCTTTAAAAAAAATATCATGGCAAAAAATATATATATATATATATAACATTTTTAATTTGAAAAATTGATTCTACGCGTTCTTTTAAGAAAATGAATACCTTTTGACAAACGTCTCTTTCCACGAAAGCATTGTACTTTGACCTTACTTCAAGAACACGTTTTAAAATAAGTTGTTTTTGTTCCTCAGTAACGTCAGGGCTGTCAAGAAGTTGTGGTAATATAGAAGAATATTGTTCGACACTTTCTTGTTGCTGCTGCGGTTGTAGAATCGAGCTTGGTGGCGCAGAAGATATTTGGTTACGACGTGACTTTGTTATACGCTTTATTTTCATTTTATTATTATTATGACTACAATACTATTATTATTATGATTTTACGAAAAAAAAAAGAATAGTTCGTTTAATCTTTAGAACAATTTTTGGGTTCGTGTGATAAGAAGAGGAAGAAGGTTGTATCATTTTCCACTTACTATAATTCTTTTCAGCCGGAAAACTGGAATTGTGCGTTTCCGGCCAAAATTACATGATAATACTTTGATGATAATTTTTTTTGCTGATCATTATTCCATCCTAGCTTAATATAGAATATTTCATATTTTACGAGTTAATTTATGGTAATCTGCCATTTAATTCAATTAATTCTCCTTATTGGCCAAGAAATCAAGATTATCACAGTCGAATAGCTCAAAACTAAGTGAGAACAGCCACTACCGAAGATAAATACATATATATATCTCCTTGACTAAACATTTGTGATTATTACATAAATTTTGATTTTTTGCCCAACTACTTTACATATTGATTAAATTAAAGTGATAGATTATGGTGAGAGTAAAATTCTAGAAAAAGAAATAGTTGATGCGATAATAGTTTTGTTAATTTTTTTTATGAATTGCCAATAGAGAATCCATTTTTAAATCTAAAAGACCTCTTTTTAGTATATAGCTTTTGTGAAAATAATTTTGGATTGTGATCAGTGTAAGTATATGATACAAAAAGAAAAGGGAGAGAAATCATCGTAAGATACATTTGTTTATTAAAGCGAATTGTATAATAAATAAGATTTAAGATAAACCCTAAACGGGATTAATTGTTTGATTCACCATAATTTTCTAAAACCATATCATTTAATCCAAGAAATTCATTCTGTTCCCAAGTTCTTTTATATTGTTCAATAATCATATTAGGATCGGGATCTATTTAAATAAAATAGAACAATCGTTATTTAAATAAACTTCCAACACGCATCAAAAGAAACAAGATCAATCATTTAAAATTCACCTGGAGCGTAAGGATTTTGTAAATAACTATTACCAAGAGGATCATCAAGTATTAAAGTGGCGGGTAATGACTCACCACTAATAATCTTATCTAATTTATCAATAAATTTTTGAAAAGAAATTTTACGATCATCTTGTATACTATCTCCAACAATAAAAGGAATTTTTTCTTGTAATTCATCATGAATTTGTTTTAATAACCCTTCTACGGTTGTAAACCGACCTCCCAGCGTACCAGCCATCAATTCTAATTCTACTTCAGGTATGCTTAAACTACACGTTTCACTCTTTAATACATCTCTTGTCATATCTTCTAAATCTTCAATCTTTAATGAAATCTTTTTGCCAAGTGGAGATATACCTCCACTTGATTTAACTTCATTTGATTTGTATCCACACGCCTAAAAAAAAAAAAGTGAATAAATAATTTAAATTATAGTACTATAAGTGAATAATAACCTGTTAGAATCTTACTTCACAAGTTGTTGCCATTATAACAACCTCTTGGAAATGAGGAATATTTATAATTTGCATCTTAGTATCACATGGTACGTTGCAATGAGAACAATTTGACGGAAATTTCATGACCTCCGGAACATCATCATCGCTACCAGAATTTGTTTTCTCTGGATCGTCTTCTTGTTCATCAGGAACATTCAGTCCTAACGAAATCTCCATATCACGTGTTCTAACGTAATGTCTAATTTGAAGTTTCGGATCTGGATTCGGAGCACACAAATTTTCAATATAACTTTGCGAAAAAATAAAAAAAAAAAAAAAAAGGATTTTTTTTTTAGTTAATTTAACTTTTTCTAATTCCATGTCAAAATCCTACCTCCGTAGCCGTACTTACCTATTACCGGCAGGATCATCAACTGTAATGGTAAAGGGTTCTTCATTCTCCAAATATTCCGACAATTTTTGTATTATAATTTCAATTTTTTCATAAGTTACAGCGTCTTGATGTTTTCTAACAGGTTGTTCTACTGATAAATCTTCAATTATACTTGAAATCACTCCTTCTATAGTAGTAAGACAACCTCTTTTTGTTGTAGCTGGAATTTCCAGGTCGATCTCATTAAGTTTTATTGATGCTGTTTCAGATTTAACTAATTGACGATTTAAGTCTTGTTTATTATTAATGGTAAATGTGCATGTACATCCTTTTTCTGATATTGCACCGGCAAATTGAACTTCATTGTTACTGAACCCGCAATGCTAATCATAAATAAGAACTTGATTAGTCTTAACGTTAGATTTCCAATATAAAAAAACTAATTAATACCTCGCAATTGAAGCTCATAATCACAATATCTCTCCAGTGAGGAATCTTTGTTAATAATAATTTTGTAATTCCCTAAATCGAATTGATTCCATTAGCAACACAATAAGGTTAAATGCAAAATAGATTGGATTTTAATTTTCAAATAAATACATTTTCACCGCAATTGACACAATAACTTTCAATTTCGGTTGGTTTAACATCATCATCGTCATCAACCATTTGACCAATATCTTGGAATAATTTTTCATGATTTTCTTCATTTTTCACTTGATTTGACATTTTTTTTTTTTTTTTAAAAAAAAAAAAAAATTTGAATAATTGAATTTTTACGAACGTTACGTGTCTATTCCTATTTATACCTAAACTAATCGCGTCACGTGAGATCGATGAACGACCATTTTGAGTAATTAACGTGGTGCAACGATGCATGGTAAATCGCTCGAAATGTCCTTATTCACGTCCTGATAAAAATAAAACGGTCCGCTTTGAGTTGAAAGACAATTAGAAGATACCTGTTTTTTATTTTTAAAGTCGGTGACACTACGACCTTTTTGACCTGTTCTACAAATTTCTGTAGCACACTCTAGATTCTTCTTTATAGATTAGAATGCATGCAGTTATGATCTGTATTTCTCCCTTCGGATTATGAACATTCTAACTCCATTTCACTGCGGAGCTAACCAAATTCTCAAGATCAACTTTACTTTATTTAATATTATTCGTTTATTTTATTTAAAAAGATTTGAGATTCATTATATTATTAACGGTAACACACATTATGATAAATTCACACATCATAGCCTCTTAAATAATTAATAAGTTTTGGTGTGGGAATTGTTTAAAGAAAAAAACGCGTTTATAATAATATAATGAGGACATTTTAAAAAATTGTTCTCAAGTAAAGAAAAAAACGTGAAATTCGCAGCGATGACATCAATGTTTTGATTTTATATAAAAATAAATATATAAATGCTAGTATAAAGAATGACGTCATAAATAAAGGAAAAGAATCGGTTTCCGTGAGAACTCGGGAATATTTTTGCCCAAGCATATGACAGATCAATAACGAATCAGCTTAGTTGACTATCAACAAACGATTGCTTTAAACCAAAAACGAAATTTATTAAATCACCTGTAAAATTTTTTTTTTTTAAAAATCTAAAAAAAAAAAAAAAAAAAAAAAATTTATCACCCCATCAATCTTCTTTCTCCTACTTCCGAATTTTCACTTTTTTAAAGAAAATATTAACGCGTAAAAAGTACGGGTTTTATGATTTAAGTATATACAAGATTCTTACAAGTTTTTTTTTTTTGCCCCTTCTTTTCAAATATGCCATCAGAAAGAACACTCGAAATTTCTTCCAAATCTAATAAACGAAATAATTATGAGGAACAATTTTGTCAACAATCAGATAACCCCAATTCAAACTGTAACAACAGCAACAGCAACAACAAAAAAATTTGTATCTCCTCAAAAGAGGAACCCCCTCAAGCTGATCCTTTAGGTGGAGGCGATGATCCTATGTCACAAATAATTCTTCAGGATCGTCGTCATAGAAACTTATTAGCAAGCAAGAAATATCGAGCAAAGAAACAACAAATGGAACGAGAAAAAAATGATTTAATTCAAAAATTATCAAATGAAAATCAATCATTAAAGCGAAGGGTACAAGAAATGGAATTTGAGAATAAAAGTTTAAAAGAGATTATGAATAGACTAACAACTTCATCGGCAGCTTCAGTGTTGGATAATAAAGTTATGATGGTTAGAGAAAGATTGTGTAGGAGTGGTGCCGTTGAAAATTAATTTGTCAATTACGAGAGAATCGTAGAGATTTTATGATTATTATGTAAATTTATAGATTTTTTCCCTTTTCCCCTCTTACGATTAAGAACGCGTTATTTAGTTAGTTTCAATATAGTTCAAATATTAAAAAAATTCATGTTACAAAACTTAAGCGTGTAATTAGTTTCCCCGTTCTTCTCAACTTTTTTTTTTAATTACGTCAGCAAATATTATATGAAATAAACTGGGTATACACCTTCGATTTTTCGATCCTTGTGTAACCATGATTGATTGAATGCGGCAATATATAATTGGCTAAATTCTTTTTGCAGTTATCGATTTCTCTTTTCAAAAATCTCTCTTGGTAGGTAATTGACATGTTATTGTATTGTAATTCAACAGCAGTTTTTGTTATAATGATGAATAAATTGTTGGCACCAGTCCGAAAAATGACTTGATGGATAAAAACCAGAATGTTCTTATACGCATGAAACATTCCTGAGTTAACAGACCATTAGGTTTCATTGTACATCATTTCGCTGACATATTACTAATTCTCCGCATTTTTATATCTTATCTAGCTGACGTTCATCGAGAGGAATGGACGGTTCAGAATTATTTCAATTCTCGGAAACTAGAATACTAGTCATATTAGCAACTCTGGTTGTGTTCTTCCGAGGCCTTGGCTTATATTTTCAAAGACGTTCTGTGGCAGTTAGTTTAAACGATTCGAAACATGTTACACTTGTCGTGTTTGGTGATATTGGACGTTCTCCAAGAATGCAATATCATGCTTTGAGTTTTGCTCAAAATGGCTGGACGGTTAATTTCGTGGGTTATGATGGTAAGCATTTTTTGATTAAGGTTAACATACAATATATATATGGTTAAAGTTTTTTTAAAAAAAAAAAAAAAAATTTCGCTGAAAACAATCCCTTTTATTGTAACCCGAAAAAATATTAATTCCGCCATCTAATTAATTTCTCATCGATTTCTCATCAGGTGCTACACCTTTGAATTCTATCACCAGTAATCCAAAGATTAATATCCATTATATATCACATCCTTGGCATCTTCCAGACAATATACCAAAGATAATGTTTCTCATTTTTGCGCCAATAAAGGTTTACACACAAATTTTGCTTTTATATTGGACTCTTCTCTTCAGAATAAATAGACCTGATTACATTCTTGTTCAGGTAATTTACTATTTAATTTCTTTGCCTTGACTTCCATTTTTACATTATATAAAAAAAATTCTTTTTTTTTTTTTTTTTGATTTTTAATAGAATCCCCCTTCGATACCCACGTTGATGATCGTTCAAACCGTATGTTGGTTACAATCAACGAAATTAATTATTGATTGGCATAATTTTGGATATACAATTTTAGGTTTAAGATTAGGTCAAAATAGTCTTTTTGTGAAGATAGCAAAGCGGTACGAACAACTTTTTGGGGATCGTGCTCATGCTCATTTGACTGTCACTGGGGCTATACATCGAGAGTTGATGTTTAAATGGGGAGTCAAGTGAGTGTCATCAAATAAAATTGAATATTTATGAATGATAAACATTTAATAATTTATCCTTCTTGTTAAACTTAGAGGTTCTATTACTACATTGTATGATAAACCTCCAACACATTTTAGAAGATTAAACCTTGATGAAATCCATGAGGTATATATGTGATAACCAACCAAGTTCAAGATCAACGGCTATTTTTTCCTTTTGTCTTTATTCACTAATTCATTATATATATATATATATATATTTTTAACTTAGTTCCTATTAAAGATTAATTTAGAAAAGATAGTATCAGAACAATCAATCGGTTCAGACTTTTTACCGCCATCATCCACCAACAAAACTTTCTTAACAATAAAATCTTCAGTTGATACAACTGCAAAATATCGACAAGATCGACCGATATTAATTGTCAGTAGTACAAGTTGGACTGCCGATGAAGATTTCTCAATGTTATTAAATGGAGCACAAAGATATGAAGAAGAAGTAGAGAGACATTCATCACAACGTTCTAACAAAACTTTTCCAAAGTTACTTTTTGTAATTACAGGAAAAGGTCCTTTAAAAGAAAAATATGAAAGAGAAATCAGTAAAATGACGACAAGACATGTGAAAATTGTTACCATGTGGTTGGCAGCAGAGGATTATCCTTTATTATTAGGTATGGTATTCAATTTGAGTATGTTAATAGTTAATAAATTATATGATTGATAGGAATCAATTTGTTAAATGTAGGATCTGCGGACTTGGGAATTTGTCTACATACATCCTCATCAGGCATGGACCTTCCTATGAAGGTAGTTGACATGTTTGGATGTGGATTGCCCGTATGTGCAGTCGAATTTGAATGGTGAGTCATGGGTGGATCATGGTCATGTTAATTGAAAATTTTAATTGAAATTGTTTATTCAATTTGTAATTCAAATATAAATATTTGCTTAGTCTTGGCGAGTTGATGCAACATAATAGGAATGGGTTAATATTTAAGAGCGAAACCCAGCTGGTTGAACAGTTAATAGTAAGTCCTCCTTAAATTTTGTTCTTAATTAATCTTGTTATTGTATTAGATATTTACTCTATAAAATTGTATAGGATTTGTTTACTAATTATCCAGCAAATGCATCAAAGCTTGAACAAATGAGAAATCATTTATCCATATTTCAACAAGAACGATGGGATACAAATTGGAACAAGAAAGTTTTACCTTTATTAAATTTTTAAAAAAAAAATATATATATATACTTTTCTATTTAATTTAATTATAGCACAGACTAACTACTCTAGCCCTCCCTGAAAAATCACTTAAAAATACTTCCGCTAAGATATTCCCGGAATACTTTAAAGTGGAGGGTAGGATGTGACAAATTTAAAAAGTAATAAGGCCGGCAAATAAATCCAGCTATCATTTTCAGGGCGATGCAGCATTTTTTTTTTTTTAGCATAGAATCCATTATTTATATTAATTTAATGATAATGTGAAAGAATTTTTAAGAGATCAGAAACATTATGCCTGAGAACAGGAAAAAATGAGTATTTGTCCTGGCAGATAGTATGATCTGTTTTTACGAGTTACGTGTTATCAAATTTCTGATAAAACAAAATTAATAGTCATTCTCGTAATTTATCAACGAAACTCATTAAAATTCTATCAAGCATAATAAAAAAAAAAAAATTATTCAAAACGCAAAAAACATATATTTTCATTAATGAATCGATTATGAATAAATTATTTCAAAACTTTATAACGATATCAATCTTATTGAACTTTCAATCACTTCTTTAAAAACGGAAACATTCTCAGGATGGATATTATTTAAACTGATCGACTCCATGCATCGTCAGCGCAGTAAAATTTTCTATCATGTTTGGTGCAGTATCGTACTGGCGACAAAAAAACGGAACATCATTATTATAATGTATTAAGGAATATCATAATTATGGATAGAAGTAATTCAGAAACATTCTATTGCATTATTTTTTTTTACTACGTTCCAAATTTATGCTGTAGGACTTCATCTTAGAAAAGTTTTCCTGTGGAACTTAATACTTTATATAAGTAGGAGTGATACGGATTGTGAAAATTTTGATATGGGTGGGATAGATTATTTCGGAAATCTGGTGTTTGTAGAAGGGGATGTGAGACTCTCATAGTTAGCGATAGAAAAAAAGTTTAGCTGTAGAAATGTAAGAAAGCAACGAAATAATATGACTTAGGGACTCGCATTATATGGCACATGATCCGCACATCCCTTCCCTTGAAAAGTGTTATTTATTTTAATTATTTAATTCATTATTTTATAAAAAGTTTCGTTCACAATGTGATTTTATTATTTTGATATTAATTGCATAATAAAATAATAAAAATAACATGAATTATAATTTGATATAGTGTCACTGCAGTCATTATTGCGAAAAAAAAAGCAAGAAATTAAAAAGGGAATTTTTAACTCCTGGAAGAATTATAAGACCACAAAAACGTGGGTTTAAGCATTGAAAACATAGAAGTGCTCATCGACTTCTAGTTGTCCCTTTTTAGGAACGCCAATCATGTAGCATCTTCCGACGTCTGGCATTCCGTTTATTCGTTGCGACCAGTTATTAGAAGATAGCACTGTAGTCGTATTTATCAAAGCTTGACTATCATTGAATGAAAACGCGCAATCAGAAGGAGCCCGTGGAGGAAACGGAGCGTAACCTGGTTGTGCACGTATTACTAATCAAAAGAAAATTAGAACCAATCAGACAAATAGTTGCTTTATATAATGTATCGCGCAATAAATCCTTAGTGATATAATATTTATATACAGTGGCTTCCAAAAAAAACGCACCACTATATTGCTTATTATTAATCATGTGCTTCATAATACAGCAATTTTAATATTACTTGATAAATCGGAAATTTTTTTATCACGTGATTATTTATTAAATGATGGTGCGTTTAATATGGCGCTTTCGCAAATATAACAAATTTATTAAA